AGCGTCCTAGATGCCTCTTTCCAGTGGTTGTGGCAGCGAAGAGGGCATCAAGAAAGGATTATGAGAGCTGAGGTGCAGCACTCAGCAGGTGTGTAGTTGTAGCTTGATGGTTTGTGTGAGCATGACGGCTTGTCTTAATCTGAGCTCACTGTTTGGTTGACAACGTCATGCCGCGCGGGTCGCTGTATTTCCGATGATGGACCACTAGCGCACATCCTGAGCGTCCTAGATGCCTCTTTCCAGTGGTTGTGGCCGCGAAGAGGGCATCAAGAAAGGATTATGAGAGCTGAGGTGCAGCAGGAAGGAGGTGTGTAGTTGCAGCTTGACGGTTTGTGTGAGCTTGAGGGCTTGTCTCCAAATCTCAGCTCATTGTTGATTTGTCAGCGTCGTTCCGCGGGGTGCTGCATTTCCGATGATGGACCAATAGCGCACATCCTGAGCGTCCTAGATGCCTCTTTCCAGTGGTTGTGGCCGCGAAGAGGGCATCAAGAAAGGATTATGAGAGCTGAGGTGCTGCAGGAAGGAGGTGTGTAGTTGCAGCTTGATGGTTTGTGTGAGCTTGAGGGCTTGTCTCCAAATCTTAGCTCATTGTTGGGTTGTCAACGTCGTGACACGGGGCGCTGCCTTTCCGATGATGGACCAATAGCGCAGATCCTGAGCGTCCTAGATGCCTCTTTCCAGTGGTTGTGGCCGCGAAGAGGGCATCAAGAAAGGATTATGAGAGCTGAGGTGCAGCAGGAAGGAGCGTAGATGCCTCTTTCCAGTGGTGTGGCCGCGAAGAGGGCATCTATGAGAGCTGAGGTTGTGTAGTGAGCTTGACGGTTTGTGTGAGCTGGAGGGCTTGTCTCCAAATCTCAGCTCATTGTTGGTTGGGTTGTCAACGTCGTGACACGGGGCGCTGCATTTCCGATGATGGACCACTAGCGCACATCCTGAGCGTCCTAGATGCCTCTTTCGAGTGGTTGTGGCCGCGAAGAGGGCATCAAGAAAGGATTATGAGAGCTGAGGTGCAGCACTCAGCAGGTGTGTAGTTGCAGCTTGATGATTTTGTCAATGTGTGCTCGTTGTGGCCTTGAAGGTGGCACCAAAACAGTTCCTGCTTCACATACTGTTTCTGCCACTGCTGCTACTGCTGTCGCTGCTACACCACTACGAGGACGACGACTGCTACTGATGACCGCTGCTACTGCTACTCCTGCTACCACCACCACCTCCACCTCCGACCTGCTACTAATATCATTACTGCTACTAACACCACTACTCCTCCTTCTCGTGCTGCTGCTGCCACTGCTGCTGCTGCTACCTCAGCTAGTAGGACTGCTACTGCTATTGCCACTGCCAGTCCCACTACCACTGCCACTGCCACTACCACCACCAGTACCACTATTGCTACTACTACTACTACTACTCCTACTCCTACTCCTACTCCTACTCCTACTCCTACTCCTACTCCTGCTACTACTACTACTACTACTACTACCACGACTACTACTACTACTACTACTACTACTACTACTACTACTACTACTAGTACTACTACTACTACTACTACTGCTACTACTACTACTACTACTACTACTACTACTACTCCTGCTACTACTGCTACTACTACTACTACTGCTACTACTACTACTACTGCTACTACTACTACTGCTACTACTACTACTACTACTACTACTACTACTACTACTACTACTACTACTACTGCTTCTGCTACTAATGCAACAACTACTGGACTAGCCAGTATGTCTTTTTCCTTTTTTGCATCGCGAATCATTTCACTACCGTCACCGTCATGATCCCTAAGCCCTGAGCCCCAAGTGTCGTGAGAATCTCGGAAGACTCAGGCAAAGGCGTTGCTCCCCGTGCTTGCCCGGCAGCCACGTTGGATGCAGGGCTTTGCCTAGACTCAGAGTCGAGTGTTAAAGTTTCGGTTGACAGTTCAAGTTGCAGTGTTTACGGTTTTGGTCGGCTTAGGTTGTTCGGCTCGCGGGTTGTGGGAGATTGGCCACTAGAAGCTCCATACTCAAAGCCCGAAGACTTCGAGGGGTTTCGACCTCTAACCGAAGACATGGGCTGAACACAGAGAGACTGGTGCATCTTCAATAAGACAGGTGCCTTCAACTATCAGGCCATCCCTAAAAGGATTCGGATTTCATTCAAAGGTCTACGAAAGAAGCTCTCCGGGTAACCCCAGAACCAGGAGTAGAAGCCCATGTGCATGGGATTACGAAACCCGCATGTTAAATGTTCCCTACAGAGCTTCATTATCATGTGTGTGCCTAGATGCATATGTACATGTGTATGCATATGTTTTTGCATATGTATATGGCAATGCATATGTATGTGTATACGTATATGTGTCTGTATCCGTATTGGCACATGTAGATGTAGATGTATATGTATACGTATACGTATATGTTTGTATGTATGGACATGCATGTACATAGCATATACGTATACATATACATATACACTATGCATTTTAATGATACATTATACATATACATATACATATACGGTCACATATACATACCTCAGCCGCAGATTCCAATCCTGCTGTATTCGAGTGTAGCTTTGATAATTTTCCTTGCATGCTCTGCCAGGCTAGCTCCTTGGCATCCGCGCCATGCGAGGCATGCTGCTGGCTTTCACGTTGCATTTCTGTTCTGGGATGCTCCTTCCTAAACGCGAAACTCCTCACCACGAAACACCTCACCTCCAAACCCCAAACCCTAAAGTAGGCGCCGAAGCCCCTAAAGCACTAAACGCCTAGCCACAGGTTTCCTAACCTAAACCCCGGACCGGAAAGTCTTGAACCCAGCCCGTAAGCCTCATCCGCACATCCACCCTCAACAACCAAACGAAAAGGCACATCAAGACATGTCCGAACCCTGTAACCTCTGAGAGTTCAATCCCCAACTCCGACATGCTCTCGTTAATCCTATTGAAGGGCTTCCATCAAACACAAACAAACATGTAACACATCTCCGCCCTTCGCGTGGAAAGGCTGCGGGAATCCCGGCCGATGTTCTGTCGGTGAGCGCCGGTTCGGCGGGGGCCCAAGCTTTTGGGGTTTGAGCTGTTAGGGTTTCCTGCATTCCGGGTGTGCGGTTGGTAAGGGTTTTAAAGGTTCTAGGGTACTTTTGAGTCATGCGCCTGACCAACAGGTCTTCTCATGGAGGCTTTGGCGGACGAGGGAACAAGGTGTGTACAAAAGCCCCAAGCCCTGAACTTCGTGAGTACGGGCTCAGCCCCTGAGAACTGGCGGAGTCCGCGTTTCACGGTCTTCGGAGGGTTTTGGGGGTTGGTTACTACAGAGGGCCGGCAGGCTGGCGTCTGAGAGTTTAAACTCTAAATGGGTAGTTGTCAAAATTAGGGTCCCTTTTTGGGTACCCTAAATAATAGCTGCCGTAGTATATTCGGCACACAAAAAGGGGCCCTAATTTTGACAACCACCCACATGCTCCAGGGCTCTGGGGCTTCCTGGTTGGGGGGTCGGGTCGAAGTCTGGGGCATCCTGGAGAGTTCGGCACTTGAAGGATCATGGGACTTAGTAGGCTAGGTTATAATTAAGGTAACCATACTTATAATTACTTAGAACCCCAGTTAGGGTACTTATAACCTAACTTACTAAGTCCCCTGATCCTCCAAGCAAGGCACTTGCCGTTTGCAGTCTCGAGTGTTGGCGCTCTCAGACTACGCTTCGCACACGCTGTCCAACCAAATCAGCGGGGGTGTCATCAACAGCGTGTAAAGCTTTGCCGGATTGGTCGCAGTCGTAGGCTAGCTTTGTTGGCCAGGTATCTACATAATTACCCACAGCCAGTATGATGCTCGACCCATACTCGTAAGTCCTTGACTTACGCTGGGCTTGGAAGCGCCGAGGTCGTCTTCTTCATCGCGCTTCTACTTTCGAGCATGCTCTTTGGTGCTCCTCTCAGCACAGCGACGGGGGCAAGCTCAGATTCTACGGCCACTGCTTTACTACAACCCTTACCGCCTTCATCCCGGAGAACCTATACAAACCCTGAAGCCTCAAAAACTCTGCGAGCCATAGACTCCAGTCGCCGACCCGAAGCCTTCAAGCTAAAGCTTTTATTGGGCTCCGACTGGCTCGAGTGAGGCCGCAGTATCGCAGGCTTCTTGGACAACTTGGACAACGTGGAGTGAGAAGAATTATGTTGTCATGCAAGTCGAAGGATTTGGCGTCAGATTAGCAGGGTGTTCGATGTCATATTCATTGCGGTTTGATGCAAGACCATGCTGAATTCTCATAATTGAAACCAGATGGCCTGTTTGGAGAGCTATGTTCTGCTACTTTAGCCAGAGTGTCATCGCAACCCGACATTCTAGAGTGTACCGTCCCTCCCCAGCGGTGGCAAAGCCTACCCTAGAAGAACATAGGATGCAGACTCCTGCTTCATCTCCGGAAAAGAACACTGAATGGGTTTAGGGTTTGGGGTCCCGTGTTTAGGGTTTAGAGTTCAGGGTCCGGGGTTTAGGGTCCAGGATGTAGGGTGTGGGTTTTGGAGTTTTGGAGCAGTGACCTCAAAAGAAGACAAAGAAGACAGGAATCTGGAACCCTAGAACCTTCCGTGAGGTTTGTAGAGCCCACATCTTCACTTGATAGGGCCTTACAATAGACTATAGGGGCCTCAATAACGACCTACAATATTTTTTTGGGGGGGTCCTTATTATCATTATGGCAGAATACAACGTCTCGTTCCCTCTTTCGCATACAAAGAACCCCCCTGCTTTAGGCCTGCTGCCCTGTGCTTGGGGGCCTAGAGAGTGATAGAGTGGACGAGACCTAGGGGTTTGGGGGTTTAGGCTTCAGGGTTTAGGGCTTGGGGTTTAGGGGTTGAGGGGTTTAGGGCTTAGGGGTTTAGGGTTTAGCTGCCAAGAGCCCCTCAAAACCAGTTCCGCTGCCACTTTCTGCTCAAGAACTACAGTCATTCTCCTTTATCATAGCCACTTAGGTCCTAGATTTTCACCCCATGCCTCAACATGGAAAGACGAAGAATCCCAACAAGCTGGCAACCCGCCTGCAATTGAAGGGCGAGGGGGAGGCTGAATCTGACAGCCCTCCGCCCTAAACTCATAGGAGGCCAAAAGGGGTTTTGGCCTATGGGGGTTTAGTAGGGATTAGGGTTCCCATAATAGGGGTCATATTAAGGAGTCCCTACCCCAAGAATCTTAAACCCCCCTTTTACTTTTGGCCTCCCATCATAAACGGCATGGGGGCACAGATCCCCGCATCGCCTCAACTCGAACTCCTAAACACCGAAGCCCCAAGGCCTGAAAGCCAGGAGTTCACCTTGACCTGCATCCGCGACAAAGTCCCAGACCCTGACATGCTATTGCATTGCGAGAAACAGAGCTCGTGAACCTCCCCTGGAGCTGACCAGAGGGGTTTCCGTAAATCAGGGCTGCCTTATTTGGGGGTCCTTTTATGAAGGATCCTACTATTAAGGGTATTTTTTTGGGGTCCCTTAGTTGCCGAAAACTCCCATGAGGGTTTAGGCTTTAGGGTTGAACTTCATGTGGGGGACCTTCACCCAAAAGTTTCATTTAGAACGACCCTCTTGCCTACAGCTGTCCTTGGGAGCATCCTCCGAAGAATCTCTTTGGTTTTTAGCAGAGAATGGGGGCATGGATCCCGATGATAGCCCCCTAGCGCCCCATATAGCAGTCCCCATAATCCACTCCCCCAGTCTGTGCTCGGAACCAGGGAGTTGTGGAAGCGATGAATCCCTCTTGAGCCCAGACCCCAAACCCGAAACCAGTTGATCAGACCGTAAACAGCTGCTGTGGGCCCTCAGCAAAACCCCAATCTGCTAGAAGCCCCAAGCCGTAGACCCTAAACCTTTAAACCCCAAGCCCAACAACCCTTCACGTAAGCCTTATCCCTAAACCTGAGGCCGTATCAATTAAAATAGGGTTTTGGGGTAGACTATACTATAAACTTACAAAAAGGACACCCCCAAAAAATTACCATACTCTAATCATTAAGACCCCAAATTACACCCCGTTCAACCTTCGAACACTCGCCGAGGACGACTCAGGAGTTTTCCTTTCGCAGAACTCCATCAGCAGGTTTCCGGAACAGGCATCGAAAACGCTCTTCTTCACCGTCGCCCGGCCTCGAGTGGGGATTGAGGGTTTAGGCATGGAGATTTAGGCTGGGGTTAGGGTCCAGGCCGAATTAGAGGTTTAGGATTTTAGAGACAAGAGGGTGCATGAATCTTGAATGCCAAGCCACGGAAGCCAGACGCTTGACCGTGGCCCCATACTGTCTGTTTCAGGATGAAGGGCAACTGTCCAGGCAAGGGTTTTCCAAGCAGTTGCTGCAGCTGGGGTGACAAGGGCGATGGTCACGACGATGACGATGATGCTCTTGGTGGTGATGAAATTACTGTGGGCAGCATGAGAGCTCGATTGAGACTGTTAGCAGTGCTGGGAGCCGTAGTCAGTGCTTGCCTTGGCAGTAGGAACTAATAGTCGTCATCTCGCCAGCAGTTGTCACCGTCATCCTCCTCGTCGATGCAGGAGTCAGCAGTGGAGGGTTCACGGGAGGTTGAAGGGCAACGTCCGATGTTCAAGCTTTCGAGGGTGGCGTTCCCGAACCCTAAACATACCCGGACTTCCTGAGCTTGAATAAGTTTAGGAACCTAAGTTGAAATTCAAGTGCATCCGGAAAGTCTTAGCCGCTGCACACTGTGCATAAAGAAAACGCCTGAGCACTGCGGCCTAACACCTAGCCAGTACTGTAAGCCCTCACTAGCCCAATTTTGAACTTTAAGCCCTCGAAACGAAACATGAAACCTGGACAGGAGAAACCCTAAACCCTAAATCCTAGTTCTCATCCTTCTAACCTGGACATGAAACCTCGAAAAGGGAAAGCTCTGAATCCTAAGCCGAGGCGACCAGCTATGACTTCGACTCTCGCTCAGCTGCACCCGAAGAGGGGAAGGGCGAGAACTTCATGCGTCTCCACGAGATAGGGCGGAGGCGCGCGATCTGTAGGTTCGGATCTCTGGTTCAGTGCTTCATGTGTCTTCGCTTCGCACCGAAACCCTAAACCCTAAACCCTAAGCCCTTTGGGCTTTTGCAGCTTTGGCTTTCAGGGTTTTTTGGTTTGAATTGCCGTGGCCGATCGAAAGCCTGACGCAGGTTTATGTGGGTGGTTGTCAAAATTGAGGTTTGTTTAGGGTTTAGGGGTTTAGGGTTTAGGGTTTTTTGGGTGCCCTAAATAATAGGTGCCGTATTATAATAGGGACCCAAAGTTGAGGGTTGAGGGTTTAGGGTTTAGGGTTTAGGGTTTAGGGTTTAGGGTTGAGGGTTTAGGGTTTAGGGTTTAGGGTTTAGGGTCCCTAAACCCAAAGCCTTAAACTCCAAACCCTGAACCCGACAAGGGACTGCGAACTGGTTCCGTATCCGGAGATCCCGAATCTGACACGGAGCTCCCAGACCTACAGCATTTCCTTTGGGCCGCCCGGCAAGTGGGGTTTCTAGAAGTCTTCCTTTTCAAGGGTTATGTAAGGGTTTCTACAAGCGCTATTATAAGGGCTTAGTGCCCGAGCCCGGATAATGAGAATAGTTTGGGGTCTATGGTAGTTTGAATGTACTAAGGAATTGCGTCAAACAACAATTCACAACCTTTCGACACAGTGATTTTTTCTGGTGGGGAGAAGCAACCTTAAACCTGCGTTTGTTTGTTTTGCGCACACTTTCTTCCTGCCCATGATTGATGGTGTTCGTGACCATGGCAAGCCAGGCCGTAAATCTGTAGAGCGCCCAGCCCACTGTCTTGTCTAGGCTAAGTGCGTACAGCGTCTTCAAGCGCGCCCCACCCATGCAGCGCCAGTGTCTCACGCTTTCTTCTACACTCGTCCTCCTTCTGTCCTGACCGGCCCCTCCTGCGCGTTATCAGTCGTCAACATCACCGTCTTCATCCTCAGCTTCTGCCTCCCCTCCTCATCGGCGAGACATGTTCTCAGCGTGGATGTGGCAGCGCAATCCACCTCTCGGTTGCCATCACCATCACCGTCACCATCGCCGCAACCCTTGCCATCGCCATCACCATACGGTCATGACACATAGATGGCCACCTCGAAACGCTAGTATTATTCTCTTGTGCCACATTGTGATGATTATCGTCGTCCTCCTCATGCTCATCGTCATCTCATCTTTCATTTTCCTCATCCTCTGCACCCTAAACCCTAAGCCCTCTGCGACCTAAACCCTAAACCCCGAAATCCCAAAACCCTAAACCCCAAAATCCCAAGACCCAAAACCCTAAACCCCAAAATCCCAAAACCCTAAACCCCAAACCTTCTGCACCCGAAACCCAGACCCAAGGCCAAAGCAGTCCACCGACTGGGAGGTCAACAAGTTTGTCATGGCAGCGTGCCGGGGCAGCATAATTGTAGGGGCTTTAAATAAATACCTAAACTATTTGGGGGAGTTGCTTAGTATAAGTCTAGCATAATGGGCACCAAAACCCTATTCTAATTATGAAGGCCCCTTCATTAATGTAGGGGCATTCATCATTAGAGTCATCAGAGCAAGGTTTGGGGCTGTTTAATGTTTTGGTAGGTAGAACAAGAAGGCAAGAAAGGAACACTACCAATTATTCAGGCCTCTATTTTATGGGATGAGTTTGCGGGTTTTTGGGGGGCTGGGTTGACATAGAATCTAAGCTTGAGATGAAGGGTTTCGGTTTGGGGGCGGAGGCTGAAGGAATCACTAACGCTTCAGCCTCAGAGCTCCACCACGCTTGGTCGGGTGGTGGAGGGGTTTCCTTGAAGTCATAGGACGGATCATCAATCTATGTCTCATGCGTGGGGTAGCTATAATAGGAGGAGCCTTGGACAAAAACGCCCTGAAGAATCCAGTGAGAGTCGGACTCGTTCATCGCTGCAAGGAGCCTGGGAGTGTCTGGGTACTATAGGGGCCTTAAACATTACCGAGATTTTTTTTGGGGCGCCTTGTTTTCATTATGAAGGCCCCTACAATACCCAACATCCAGCCTTCAGGAGAAAAGCCACCACGAACTCGGGTGGCCCTGCTCCAGACTATGGGATGCGGTCTACGTACCAGGCAGCGGGTGTCAGTCGGTAGCAGGGTCCGAAACCTTATACTCTAAGCAGTAGATCACTCGGACGGAAAGGAATCAAGAAAATCACGCAAATACTGATCTCTCTGAGCCGACAAGCCCGAAGAATTAAATCCCAAGCAGCCTAAGCCTCGAGTTGCAAACCCAAGATCCAGGAGTCCCTGAGGGGACCCGAAACTTTGTTGAGATCTTCATTGTTGCTACAAGACCTGCCGGTTCGCCGAACTGAAGTTGGCTCTCTCAACGCCTTGAAGGGGATGACGGTTCAGACTTTGATAGTTTACAGGCTCAGGGTTTAGGGTTTACAGGCTTTACAGGTTCGAGTTATGACACGTCCCTTGCAACTCCCAGCCACCCTCTTCACAAAACTCCGGCCCATCGACAAAAGCCGCAAGACTGAATAGTTTGCTCCCATTTCTTCAAGAACCAGACTCCTAAATCTGAAATGCCAGATGCTAGGTCCTCAGCCTTTTCTACCAAACCTTACATCCTAAATCCTAAGCCCAACAACCCTAAGCCTCTTAGTGGAAAGGCCTCGCATCCACCACCAGCCTCAAGACGTATCCTCCTAAACCCTGAGCGTATTTCCTTTCGTATTTCCCTTAGGGGTATCTTCTTCGGGCTTAAGGGGGCTATGGGCTCCCGAAAATAACACCTAAACTCTTACAGGGGTGCATTGGGTTTCAGGGCTTCTTTCAGACCTGTCCAAACCCAAAACCCTACACCCTAATCCCTAATCCCCCCCGAGCCGAAAACCCGAAAACCCCAAAGCCCCAAAACCTTACACCCCAAACGCTAACGAACCCAAGCAAGGACACCGCAAAAGACCAAAGCAGTGTGCCACCACTTCTCGAGGACCTCACGGTGCCGAAGACGAAGTCAGATCTGGAAAGGTCGCGACCAGCTGCTCTGGAAGGTCCCCGTCTGTCTTTGTTATACTAGTAGTACTGTTATCATCATTCTCATTATCATCTGATTATCATCAATATTGCCACTATGAAAACTCTTATAGCCAATAGTATTTTAGTTATTGTGTTTGTTTTGCTGCGGGCTTGAACTCAACCCAAAACCGAGCCCTACAGCCCCAAACTCCATAAACCCTAAACCCCCAAAACCCGAAGCCCCAAAACCCTAAACCCTGAAGACCAACCCCTGAACCCTAAACCATAAGCCTTCAAAGCAATACCTTAACCCTGAGGTCCGCCATTGGAGAAACGCAGGGAGCCTTCTTTGGTGCTGCGGTCGCAGAGCCAGGACATGCACGGTGGCGAGCATTCCGGTTTCAAGGCCTCTCCTGCGTTTAGGGTTTCGGGTTTAGGGTTTAGGGTTTAGGGGGGTTCGAGTTGTGGGTAAGGGTTTCGGGTTTAGGGTTCAGGAACTTAGGATGAGGCTTCAGAGTTTATGCACGGGCTTTATCGGTTTGAGATAAGACTTCCTTGATGGAATTGTTACGTAGGAGTTGGAAGAATCAGTAGCCACGTTCCCTTATGTAGGTGTAGTGTACCCCTTGAAATTCCACAAAAACGACAACATAAACAAACACCGCCACTAATACTACCGGTGCTGCTGCTGCTGCTGCTACGGCTGCTACTACCACTACACCACTACCACTATCACCACCATGACCACTGCCACCGCCACGGCCAGTGACACTGCCACTACCACTACGGCCACTGCTACCGCTGCCACTACCACTACCAGTACCGCTACCACTACCACCACTACCACCACTACTACCACTACCACTACCGCTACCACTACCACTACCGCTACCACTACCGCTACCACTACCGCTACCACTGCCACTACCATTGCCACTGCCACTGCCACTACCACTGCCACTACCACTGCCAGTGCCCACTACCACTACCACACCACTACCACTACCACCACCACTACCACGACCACTACCACACACTACAACACACGCTACCACACACACTACCACGCACACTATCACATGCACTACCAGACACACCACTACTACACATACTTCCACACACACTACCACACTACCACACTACTACGGCCGCCACCACTACCACTACCACGACTGCTACTGCGACTACTGCTTCTGCGACTACGACTCATACTACGACGACGACCAGGACGACGAGTACTACTACTCCTGCTCCCGCTGCCACTGCCACTGCCACTGCTACTTCTACTGCTACCGCTGCCACTGCTGCTACTGCTGCGGGTATCGCTGTTACGATTGCTGTTGTCATTAGCAGTGTTATCGTCATAGTCTTCATTGTTAGCATTAGTGTGATGATCAATGTTCTGACCATGATTATGAGTATTCTTGCTCTTAGCATCGTTTTTTCATGCTTGTTTCCACTATGAGCGTCATTAACATGGTTATTATCATTTCCATTGTCACTCCTGCTGTTGCTAAATCCATTATGATAATGATGATGAATATGTTATGTTACTAGTCAATGCCTATTCGTATTGTCATGTCTGTTGTTACCATCAATAACTCCTAATAGTATTATTGTTTTCTATTGTTGTGACTATTGTTGCTTCTTCTTCTTGTCATTTTGATTTTACGGCTTCGACGTGCGTCCCTGCAGGCCACTGGTGACAAGTTCCTGCCGATCCACTGCCTCGACATCGACAGCAAGACCCGGCGGGACTTCTGGCGCCCGGGAAGCAGTGATTGATTCTGCATTTCTTCATTTTTGGGTTTAGGGTTTTTGGTTTTGCGTTTTTCTGTTCCTGCGGTTTTGGGTTTAGGGTTGCCTTTCCTATTTTTGTCTGGCGGGAGGTTAGGGCTTGAAAGTATATAGAAGGGAGACGGGGATTCAAAAGGGTTGTATCGGGGTTATTTGTGCGTCCTACACGGGGTCAGTGTATGCATTCTTGTTCGGGCTTCAGATTTTGTGGCATTAGGGTAATTTTTTTGGAAGGTGTATGAGCCTTTGTCGAGATCCGCCTGGGTCTTCAGTGCTGCAGGTCTCTGTCAAAGTCTTGATATTCCGTTGTCAGCTGCGCAAGCATACTGTATTGATTCTGTAAGTGTTCGGTAGGGCCAAACCCTAAACCCCCAAACCATTAAACCATAAACCCGAAGTCCTAAAGGGGCCATTTGTGGGTTCCTTAAGCTTCTGCAAGGGTTGAGTCCGCCTTTCTGTGTTGGCTCCTCGACTCCTCTGCTTGTGAGCCGCCCCTTCAACAAGAGTTCTGCGTTTTGAATGCAGGGGCTTAAATTTAAATAAATGCCAATATTATTTTGCCTGTTCTAGTTATTTCGGCTCTTATATTGGGGTTCAAGGTTTAGTGGTACAGATGTTTTTGCTTTCGGAAGCTCTGCAGGTACTCGAGCTACGGAAATGAGTTCTTGAACTTCTCTGCCAAGCCCCACATCGACTCCGTCAAGTGGCGGCAGCCTGCCTTACATTCTAGGGTGTGACTTGGGTACGGCCCCCACTCAGTAATAGTTGAATAATATTCATAATATAGATATTTAGGACCTTAATAATAGCCCTATTATAGACTCTTACTGTAAGGGGGCAGTACCTAAGGTGTGACTTTCATGGGCTTGGGGTTTAGGGTTGTCGTTCGTTCTTTTAAACGAGCAAACAGGGCCCTATGCCTTAGTTATTTCATGGAGCCCCTTAAAGAAGTTATTGAATAGAGGCATCTCGGAGAAGGACAAACGTTCTACAAGCGTTTTATCTGAGGCTACGTGTTTTCGGGGCTCGGGGTTTGGAAGGTTTTTTGGGTTCCCATCAGGGAGGCATGAGCGACGCCAGCTTAACATAGAATCTCGGGACACCTTGCGATTGAACGCCCGAGCGCCGACCTTTGCTGGAATCCCAAGTCCGAAAAACCGCGAGCCTCAGTTCCGAAACGCGAAGTGCTGCTATTTAACTGTTTTCCCGACTTCCTGAACCCTTCATCCTACAAGGTCACAAATTCCGGGAAGCGGCTTGCAAAATCCATCAACCCCAAAACTCTGTAAAGCCAGATGCAAGCTCAAACAAGCCCTAAGTGCCCCAAAACCCCATGACATCCTGCAACGACTGGCAAAGCCCGCAAGTACATCATATGGGAGTTTCCGAAAACTGGGGTACCTTATTTTGGGGCCCTTATAATAAGGATCCTACTATTTAGGGTCCTAGATTAGGGTACCCTATTTTTTCGGAAACTCCCATATGGAGCCTCAACTCTACACCTCACTGCCCTGAAGCCCTGAAGCCCTAAAGCCGTGCAGCCCAAAGCCCCCAGCGCTAGCGCCCTAAAGCCCTAAACCCTAAACCCTAAACCCTAAACCCTAGCCTCTCTTATAGCGATTCCCGTTTTTTGTGGGGCTTGAGGGTTTTAGGATTTTGGGCTTAAGAGTTTTGGGGCTTTAAGCTTTGTAGTGCTTCCAGGTTTGGGGCTTTAGGGCTTTGGGCTCTATACACTTTAGGACGAAGGGACTTCAAGGTTTTCTAGAACTAAAGGGTGTTGGGCTCTTCGGGTGTATGATGCAGGTGTCGAAGTCAACAGTGGCTAAAAGACCACCCGGACCAAGACATAAAGATCTGACACAAGTAGGTTTTTCTTGAATCCCCCTCTCCGGCCCCTTTCTACCCCAACCATGAACCCTAAACCCTAAACCCTAAACCTCTAAACCCGAACCCCTACACCTCTAAACCCTACACCTCTAAACCCAAACCCTGAACCCCTCATTTTGGTTCAACCAACTTTAGATGCCTGTTTGGGGCCCGAAGTCAAAGTCAGGAAGCGCCATGGTCATAAGCTCATCAAGAGCTTCCTGAAGGACGGAAACGGGCAGAAGGCTCACAGTTCAGGGGTTTTCATGGACGTTAGTGAACCTACCTGTTTAGGGCTTGTTATTGTGATTTCCGACATTTAGGTTATTCAGGGTCCAGGCGGGGTTGTCCTATCGCTTTTGTATTCAGGGTCTCTCAGACTTTCAAGCTAATCGCCTTGGATGCCTCGCATGCATTGGGATCGAGGGCGCGGCCCCAGGACTCGAAATCTGCAAACTCGAACGGCGTGCCTTCGTCTGCTGACTCCTCGATCCTCCGATACCCAAAGCTCTACTCTACGTGCTTGAAGAACCCTTAGAGGAACACCTTAAAGGGAACGCCGAACTACAGAACCCTCGTAAAAATGCCCCTTCTAGAACCCTTGGAGTACCCTTAAGGGATCCCGTTAAGGAAAAGGATCCCTTAAAGGATCCCAAAAAGGATCCCTTACAGGAGCCCTTAAAGGATCCCAAAAAGGATCCCTTAAAGGATCCCAAAAAGGATCCCTTAAAGGATCCCTTACAGGAACCCTTAAAGGATCCCAAAAAGGATCCCTTACAGGAACCCTTAAAGGATCCCAAAAAGGATCCCTTAAAGGATCCCAAAAAGGATCCCTTACAGGAACCCTTAAAGGATCCCAAAAAGGATCCCTTAAAGGATCCCAAAAAGGATCCCTTACAGGAACCCTTAAAGGATCCCAAAAAGGATCCCTTAAAGGATCCCAAAAAGGATCCCTTACAGGAACCCTTAAAGGATCCCAAAAAGGATCCCTTAAAGGATCCCAAAAAGGATCCCTTACAGGAACCCTTAAAGGATCCCAAAAAGGATCCCTTAAAGGATCCCAAAAAGGATCCCTTACAGGAACCCTTAAAGGATCCCAAAAAGGATCCCTTAAAGGATCCCAAAAAGGATCCCTTACAGGAACCCTTAAAGGATCCCAAAAAGGATCCCTTAAAGGATCCCAAAAAGGATCCCTTACAGGAACCCTTAAAGGATCCCAAAAAGGATCCCTTAAAGGATCCCAAAAAGGATCCCTTACAGGAACCCTTAAAGGATCCGAAAAAGGATCCGTTAAAGGATCCCAAAAAGGATCCCTTACAGGAACCCTTAAAGGATCCCAAAAAGGATCCCTTACAGGAACCCTTAAAGGATCCCAAAAAGGATCCCTTAAAGGATCCCAAAAAGGGAACCCTCAAACTTCCGGAAAGGAGCTCGGCGCGGACCCGCACGGGACGCGCTCGACTGGAGACCTCCACCGGACGCTTCCTCTGGGCTTGGTCTCTTGGCTGTTTTTTTTTGTTTAGGGTTTAGGGTTTAGGGTTTCTCTTGGCTGTTTTTTTTTTTGTTTGTTGGTTGTTCTTTTGTACTTTCTGCTGTACGTATAAACATGTTTTTGCAAGTTGTTTTCGGTAAAACATGGTAGAGCTTTCGTTTTTTTTCTAGAGGGTGCGTAGAAGCTTGAAAGTTGAGAGAGTTGTTTGTAGGGGCTTATAAGGTTTATAGACGTCGAACAAGATTCTGGGCCGCCCTTCAAGGATGCTGTGAGGGTTCCGTCAAGGGTACTCTGGGTTTTGATTCTTTTTCGGGTAAGGGGCTTAAGGTCTAGAGTTTTGGGGTCGCAGGTCAGGCTTCAGGGTCTGGGGTTGTGAGGTACTGGTGCGTTCGATGTTGGCCTAGGCTTTACGTTTAGGGTGTAGGGTTTGGGGTTTAGGGCTTTGGTTTGAGGTGTCGTGGTGCGGGGTCAGGGCTGAGGCTGTTGGGACGTTCTAGTTTTTCACTGACCGTTTCTGTAAAAGCATTCTGGAGCCTTACATAGGGGCTTGAACTAAATACCACTACAGTTTTGGGGGCTCCTTATTCTAATTAATAGTATACTGATAAGGCCCATATATATATATATATATATATATATATATATATAGAGTGTAGTACCCTTAGAGTATCCCTTACAGTAACCCTTATACAAAGCCCTTTAAAAGGAACCCTTAAAAGGAATCCTTGCAGAAGCCAGCCCAGGTAGGAACTGACCAGGAGACCATGCGAAGACTTGCGGGCAAGCCGGTTTAGACTCCGAGAAGCTTGCGGTTATCAGGTTAAACTCTACCTGAGCTACCGTGAACCCTAAACGAAACCCTAGAAACCTGAACTAGCCTTCGGGGTAAGGTTTTGGGTCTCAGGGCCGAGGTCGTGGGGTTTAGGGTTTAGGGTTTCGGGTTAAGGGTGTGGGGTGTAGCTGATCTGCTGTCCTTAAGGGACTCTTTTTCACACCGCAGGCGTCCTAAAACGTCGGCCTATGCTATAGGCCACTTCGACAGAGGGCGCTTGTGTCAAGAAATGTAAATGCTTCCGATGCCCTCAATGCAGGGGAGCATCCCCCGATCTTGTCAAGGTCGGCTAGCAGCTAACTTGCTCGAAGGCTGCCAGCACTGGGTTTAGGATTAACATAGAAGAAGTACCAATAGTTTTTCCTTAAGGCCTTAAGGGTTATACTTTAGAAGGGGCCCCCACCTGTAATAGTGGCATAATAGGAATCTAATAGGAATATAATAGGGCCCTAATATAAGCCTTACAGTCACTATGTCAGGGTGGGGGCAGCTTCTAAGTTATACTATAATATATGTAGACTAATACTAAGGCCCCCATGTTGGAGGAGATCATACTCCCGGGTTTAGACGCTCATCCAGGAAGAAGACCCAGATGGCAGCCTCCCGTCCGACCCACAACCCCCTGGCATTTTCACTCCCAGACCTCCGCAGCCCAGCCCTGCAGCAGTTTAGCGCGAAATTCGCAGCCCTAAGCTTCTACACTGCCTACCCCAATACCTCGTTGCAAGGTAGGATGGGCTTCAGGATCCTTTATATCAGGACTGTTACTTGGGCTTTACACAGCTGCCTTCAACCCACCTTTGGAGCAACCCAAGCCCCAAACCTTAAACCTTAAACCCTGAGCCCTAAACCCTAAACCCTGAACCCTTTAAGATGCTAAGAGGATGGGCTGCCAGGGGATCCTCATAGAGGCCCTCCAAAAGAGGGGCATTCAGGTCGAGGATTGAAGGTTCCGGTTTTAGGACGAAGGTTTTAAAGGGTTTAGGGATTAGTACAATTAGGGATTAGGGTTTAGGATTTAGGGATTAGGGTTTAGGGATTAGGGTTTAGGGCTAAGGGTCTCCATTTACAGGATGGTGTTGGTATGTGTTGCTCCTTCGGCATTGAAATTCTGGAGAACAGAACGACGGACGAAGAGAAAGGCGGCGTGCAAGTTGCAGGGAGCAGGTCCTTGATTGGGTTAGAGCTGTAGGGTTGTAGGGTATTAGGGTTTGCAGGGCTTAGGGTTTAGGGCCAATGGGCTCGCCCGAGAACTTCATGGACGAATGTTCAGGTCTGAACATGTCGTGATAATATCTGCATCTGGTCCGAATGTAGTTACGCTACAAAACCCTGCGCCACACGGGCCCTATGTCAGGTTTTTGTCAAGTGGGGGTTTCCGAAAATAGGGGATTCTAATATCGTATCCTAAACAAAGCGATCCTTATTATAAGGACCCCAAAGTAAGGTACCCCGGATTTTCGGAAACTCCCAAGTGAGTTCTAGCTTTAAGATCACGGTTCGAAGCAGTGCATTCGACTTAGAGCCATAGGAGCCCAGACTTCCCCTCGAAGCTTCAACCTGCACCTAACTTCAAAGTCTACAGCCCCCGGTGGTGCCCACCTAAGGCCTTTGTAGAAGCCTTATAGAGCCCTCATAGCCCTATAGTTTAGGATCCCTAATATTTTTTAAGGAATATTCCTTAAATTTTAATAGGATCCCTAATATTTTTTTAAGGAATATTCCTCAATTAAGGGATATTGGAGTCTCTGGGAACCCCAAACCCCAAACTGTTTGGGTTCAGGGTGTTTCGGCCCGTGAGCAGAACCCAAGCATCTCGAAAGCGCTCACCCCTGCGCGCCACCCACAAACGCCCAAACAAGGATTTGCGTTTAGGGGTTTTGGGGCTTAGGGGTTTAGGGGTTTAGGGGTTTAGGGGTTTAGGGGCTTAGGGGCTTAGGGGTTTAGGGGTTTAGGGATTTGGGCAACTCCAGAAGCCCAAGAAAACCACAATCCCTATATCCGAACAGCTTCAATTTCCAAACCCGAAGAGCCCCACTCCCTGATAATTTTTTGAAATCGATACAAGTCGCATAAAAATCTCCATAACAACACTAAGCCCCAGCTGTCCTCTGCCGCTGTTTTGTTCTTGGCCCCAGCCCACGAAGCGCCGGCGCCATGGCGCGCGCCCCTGGCGTGCCGGAGGGGCTGGATGTGTCGAAGCCACGGGGCCGAAACATAACCCCAGAGACTCCAATATCCCTTAATTAAGGAATATTCCTTAAATTATAATAGGATCCCTAATAATTATGATTTAAGGAATATTCCTTAATTAAGGGATATTGGAGTCTCTGGGACTAACGGTAGGGGTCTTCAGATTTTTTGCGTTTTTTTCCGAAGGGCTGTCAAGGAAGGGCTTCACAGGGTTTCATAACGGCTTTAGAGGGTTTGAGACAGGGGGGCCTGGTGGGTCAGAAGTTTACTTTGAATTTTACCGTGCTGGGGTTTAGGGTACTGGCGATGGCAATGACCATGTTACTAAGAGTAGCTGGACGAATGTTTAGACATAGATAGGTAGGTAGAAAGATACATAGGTCGGTAGATAAATATGTAGGTAGGTAGCCCCTATACTTCACCCTAACACAGCCGACGAAGCCCCAACCCAAGGTGGCAGATCATCTATCCCAACTACATCAACTCGAAAAAGACGGTCCAGGAGGGCCGGCGAATAGGCCTCGACAAGGCCCTCTTCGCCCCCTACAAGTGCTCCTCTAAGGGGCTCCGTTAAGGCTCCTTTGAAGGCTCCTTCAGGGGGGGAGGATCGGGAATTATCCGATCTGCTAGGTTGTAGGGATCGGTGATGTGACTCGGCATATTCCTGAATCTGGGAGTTTGTTCTGGCAAATTTGGAGGTTGGGCTTTCTTTGGGAACTTAGGATCTAGGTTTAGGGGTTTATAGGCCTTAAAGGCTTTTGGTGCTTCGGATGCGATGTCAAGGTGGAAGTTTAGAGCTTCCTGCTGGCTTGGGGGTGAGGGTTTCTTTTGGCGCTTTTGTTGTTTTTTTAACGACTTCGGATTTTTGGTTGAGGAAGCCTGAATAAGTACCAATATATGTGATAAAGATCCCCTAGGGTTCCTTAGTATGTTCCGGTACACTTGAAAACTCGCATCCAAAAAACTGCCCGTCGATTGTATACAGCGTTTTGCTTGCTTTGACGTTGAGGCCCTTAGGATTTCGCCCGCCGAGTTTCTGCGAGTTGTCGTGTTTCGGCTTAAAGCCGCGTTTTGGGACCCTAAACCCGGAGCCCCAAACCCTAAACCCGGAGCCCCAAACCCTAAACCCGGAGCCCCAAACCCTACACCCCCAACCTTAAACCCTGAACCCCAAAGCTCAAACCCTGAACCTCCAACCCTCAAGCCAGGCATGTGAGCATCCCAGGGCTTTCGAGATGGCTGAGGTCTGCGAGTGGCAGCCTTACGTGGGGGGCGGCGTTTATTTTTAAATCAGGCTGTGTAGGCTTTATGTGAGGGGCTGTGAGTCTGTTTTCGGTGATTTCGCAGTTGTGCTTTTCTGAGGTTTTACGAGTTGCTGTAGGTTTTGTGTGGGGCTTGAGTGCTTTTTCCGTTGGGGTTTCATGAGGGGTTTGTAGGGGTTATATAGGGGGGTCAAAATAGGCGTCCCTCACTGAGGGGATTTTAAAAGAGCGCTCCGATCGTTCAGGGCTTCTCAGTTGTACTTATATACAGGAACTCCCCAATCCTCTTGTAGTAAAAGTAGCTATAAGGGACCAGCGTAATATAACAGCCTAAACAACGTAAATATGGCTCTTGGGGTGTAGTATGAACGTATAAGTGTACAGGGACCATAATGTCATTCAGACCCCTGCAGTAGGCTTTTGAAAAGCCTAGCATGTCCGAGCTACAGTATGGGACTGTTACTTTTGGGGGGTGGACACAAGCTTTGCGGGTGGGTTAGGGTTTGCGAATTAGGATTTGGGCTTTAGCGTTGTTTTGTCGTTGATTTGGGTCAAAAACGAAGGATCAGGTTGCGAGTTTGAAGCCTCGAAGCTCGAGCTCTTCGAGATGTGGATCGATTGGATTGTGGGTCTACGGTTTTGGGTTTGTTTCAAGGCAAGGGCCCTGTACAATGACAATAAACCGGGAAATTAAACCACCACCCGAAGCCTACTTGGAGGTTCACGGGTAGTTATAAGTAGGGTAACTATAAATATAACCCATAAATGCCATAAACCCTAAAGCCTAAGCCTAAATCCTAAACCCCCTGCGCGCCCATGAGGCACCTGAAGATTCCGCACATCTGCGAGCCTCATAAGGCAGATCCGATGTGTGGGGGGCTGGGGATCGATCATGGTTCAGGGTTTAGGGTTTGGGGTTTAGAGTTTAGGGGGGGAACAGCGAGCCGTAGCCATAATAGAGTATCGAAGATGCATTGGTATCATCGACGGCAATAGCCACGGTGCTAATTATTCCGTCCAGTCGACGTTGTGTTCACAGCCGCAGCCGCAGCCGTTGTCGCCCTCGTCGTAGCAGTAGCCGTAGTACTGGAAGTAGCCGTGGCACGAGCAGTGGCAGTAGCCGTAGCATAGCCGTAGCTGTAGCTGCAGCAGCAGCCGCAGCAGCAGCCGCAGCAGCAGCGCCTTAGCCGAAGCACTGGAAGTGGCAGTGGCAGCAGTAGCAATAGCAGTAGCTGTAGCCATAGCCGTAGCTGCAGCAGCAGCAGCAGCAGCAGGAGTAGCACGTTTGTCATCGCCATGGAGTCCCATCCCACAAAAACCTGAACCCCACTGCTACGAATGGTTCTGCTAAGGAACTCGGCAAATTATAGCGGGTAAGCTTCTCAACAAGACCCCAGTAAACCCTTGTGAGGCCTATCCGAAAGACTGGCTGATTCGAGGGCGGGTGCGGATCTTGCTCGGAGCTCACATGATGTAAGGTTGGAGCATTCCTTAGTGCCCAATATTTCTTATGAAGAACGGTTTGTTTTGACTTAAGGAGCATCGCTTGATTCACAGATGTTGGAGTCTGCAGCTGGCGATGACAGGGCTGGTTTGTTTAGGCTTTCCAAGGCTTGCTGTTCGGGGCTTTGACGGTTCCATGGCCCCAGGTTTTGTGCCCACCTAGGCCCGAAACCCTAAACCCAAGCCCTAAACCTTAAATCTACTCTAAACCCAAGCCCTAAACTTTACTTAGATCTTATTCCTTTTTGAGCTTTGAGGTCTATGGGTTTGGGCTTGGGGTTGGTCTCGGATCGTCGTGATCTTTGGAGCGTGCAGTTTTGGGTTGAGGATTCCGAATCGGATACCATAACCTCTCAGGATTTAAGGTTTCGAGGAAGCAGTGGCATCCATGACTTCAGCAACTTCCGATTTACAGAGCTGATTGACATAGAGAGCAGCGCAGACGCTGAACTTGGCCGCTAAACCCTAAAACCCGAAATCCCTGAAGCACAACAGCCACCAAACCCGAAAGCCGAATACTGTGAAGCCCCAATATACGGCATAAATAGTTGCCAATACTATTTGGGGGTTCCTTATTATACCCGTAGTATAATGGCCACCAAAACCCTATTCTAGTCGTTAAGGCCCCTAATATTAACCGCTGAGCCAAAATCTTCAACCCTGAGCCCTTTCAGGATCCAGGAAGAGGGCCGGAAGAAAAGGGTGCCCTTGACCCAAACCGAACCCCTCAACTTTAAACCTTAGATCCCAAACCCTCCGCTCTGAACCAGCACCCCACAATGTTAGCCTTCAGCCCTTAAGCCTCCAAAAATCCTAAACCCCAAACCCAACAGTGGCCGTTGTGTTTGCCCTTATTGAACCCGTACAGGATCTGTGGCGTAAATCAAAGCTGAAAAGGAGGGACCCTTAATGGGGACCCCTACCCTATAATGGGCTATATAACGGGTATATAATAGCTATATTAAGGGTACATACCTAGGGGTCGTCATTAAGGGTCCCTCCTTGTACCCTTGGAGTAAAGGAACCCCCTACACCCGCGGAGTCGGATCGACGAGCCCAACCCGAGCTTTGGCAGAGAAAGGCTGAAGACACCCGAGGGTGCCTTTACCCATCAAGAGGCGGGGGTTCGGCTCTGGAGTTGAGTCTAAGTTTTGGATTTTGGGGGAGTTTGGGTTCAGGATTTTGGGTTGAAGGCGCAGAATTGAATCTGAATGCCGCTAGCCTCCCCGACAGGGAGCTCATGGTAAAAACTGAAATCTGAGTCTAACCCCCAACCCTACCCCCTAAAGCCAAAAACCCTGAACCCTAAACCCCCTTAAAAACCCCTAGGGTTAAGTGGCAACTTCCGACACCTTGAGGCCTGAACACGAAAGTTCGAAGCCTGAATCCCTAAACTTGCGAACCTGCAGAGACATCCTAGCTCCGAAAACCTTGGTGCAGACCCTACGTAAACCCTCAACCCCCGCATGATGAATCGGAAATCAGCCATCGGATCGCTTATGGCATGCCTTAGACCCGGAACCCCCGAACCCTAAACCCTGGACAGATCCACACCAAGAAAGAAGTGATGCTGAAGATGGGGGAGCTGATCCCAAAGCCGGGCACCCAAACTTTGGGCTAGTATAGGAGCTTGACGAAGTGCCAAAATTATTCCTTAAGGTTCCTTATCATACTTGTCCTTTCAAGGAGCGCAGAATTAAAACATTACGGCCCCTACATCAGACAGCTGTTTTCTTCGGCTTTCCAAGTATAGGGCTTCGATCACGGCTAAAGTGGGGTTTTGGGGTTGGTGGTTTAGGATTCAGGGTTTACGGTTTAGTGTGGCTGTTTAACAGCATGCTCTTGAGATGGATACGGTCGATGCGGAGGGCTGCAGTTTAGGCTTTGGCGGTTTGGGTGTGATGTGTTCCTGGTGAAGGGTGTAAAGCCTAGGATTGGGGGTCTACGGTGCACGGAATACGTCGTGCCTGCCCAAGGGACCAACCCAAGTGCTAAACGACGCAGCCTCGAATCGCCAAAATCAAATGCCGAAGTCCTACACGCAGTGACCCCTGAACCCTCAAGCCCTTTGCCCTACATCTAAACCCTAGTCCATAATCGGCCATCATCCTCAACCTGAACCCTAGACCCCTGCAGCCTACAAGTACGACCCTCAACCCTGAGAGTCCAAAACCCTAAACCCTAAACCCTGAAACCCTAAACCCTTAAACCCGAAACCCTGACACCCATGAAACCCTGAAACCCTGAAACCCTGAAACCCTGAAACCCTGAAACCCTGAAACCCTGAAACCCTGAAACCCTAAACCCGAAACCCTGGAAGCCCTGACCCATCCTACCGGGTGGCGAGGCTTGCTGGGCGAAAGAATGGCCCACCGGGCCCGGCAGGGAAGCCCAGAAACTTAGGTAATCATAAGACTACGTGGAGGATCAGGGGACTTAGTAAGTTAGGTTATAAGTACCTTAATTGGGGCTATAAGTAGTTATAAGTATGGTTACCTTACTTATCACCCTAGTTACTAAGTCCCATGATCCTTCAAGTAGGGCTCCTTTAAAGGGGTCTATAAAGGCCATGACAAGGGATCTATAAGGGTAGTATAACATAGGGGCCTTAATAGCTAGAGTAGGGTTTGGGGGTATACTATGCTATAGTTGTAGTAAGGAACCCCCTAAATAGTATTGTACCGTGCAATGGTTGCTTTTTGGAGGTTAGGGGTTGCTGATATTTTGTGGGTGGGTTTTAGTGTTTAGCGTGTAGGGTCTCGGGCAAGTTAAGGAGTTCATGCTTGCATCTTGGCACAGTCAAACACTAAATTCACTGAATCTTCAACCGTTCAACCCGAGCCCTCAACCTCTGAGGCTTTAAATTCAACTCCCGGGAGCCCACAAACTGAGTTTTTCCAACATCCCACTCTTGGGGTAGGAATAACTAGAAAGAATATTTCCAGCAGCATCCTGCAGTAATAGTAGCATGTTCCCCCCCTCCGAAGCTTTAGCCCATGTGCTGGACTCCTATCCGTCAATCCTGAATCTGTATAGGCTTTGGAATCGAAACCCTAAAATCCCACATTACAGCCACACTTCTAAACCCTAAGCCCTACATCGCATAGTTGGCTAAAAACAGCCCGCCCAACTCGGCCTCTGCGTACAGGTAGGGAAAAGGGCCCTCAAGAAAAGCCTTATGGGCCTTAAGCCTTAAACCATATGTGCCCAAAAAGCCAAATAACCCCTGAACCGTAAGCCCTCCAGGTCAAAAAGTCCTTTGACAAAGGTTTTACCTTAACCCGTCTCATTGGGAGTGGGTCGACCCCTGAGAAATAAAACCTTGAGCCTATTACGTTCCTTTTCCGCGAGAGCCTTCTGTTGAACCCAGATTCTTCGGTATAGTTTACAAACCTTAAACCCTAAACCCTAAATCCTAGAGCTTGATCCTCTTCTCGAAGAATGCTATACCATACCTTGAACACCAACACCCCAGACACACGACCCCAAACCCAAAGCCCTAAACACGAACCCAGCACCCGAATCACCCAAAGCCCAAAGCTCCTTTTTCAACCACCCAAAGCACTAAAGCCCTGAAGCCCTAAACCCTAAACCCTAAACCCTAAACCCTAAACCCTAAACCCTAAACCCTAAACCCTAAACCCTAAGCCCTAAACCCTAAACCTTAAATCCTAAACCCTAAACCCTAAACCCTAAACCCTAAACCCTAAATCCTAAACCCTAAGCCCTAAACCCTAAACCCTAAATCCTAAACCCTAAGCCCTAAACCCTAAACCCTAAACCCTAAATCCTAAACCCTAAGCCCTAAACCCTAAACCCTAAACCCTAAATCCTAAACCCTAAACCCTAAACCCTAAATCCTAACCCCTAAGCCCTAAACCCCTAAGCCTGAAGCCTTACGGCCCTGAAGTCCTAAAGCCCCAAAGCCCCAAACCCGAAGCCCGGGAACATAGTCCCTAAACCCTATACCCTACTTGGAGGGGCAGGGGACTTAGTAAGTAGGTTATAAGTAGAGTTATAAGGACCCTAAATGGACTTACCCAAATTATCACCCTACTTATAAAGCCTTACTAAGTATCCTGCCCTTCCAAGTAGTAATGATGCCGAGGACATCCCAGGGCTTGGCATGGCGGCGCCCTCGGGATCTGGATCTGCCTCCTCGGCGGCGGCACCCACCACCAAGGAGGCCAAGAAGGAGGCCCGGTCTTAGATGTTTTAAGGTTCAGGGTGTAGGGGTTTAGGGTTTGTAGGGGTTTGGAAGGAGGCCAAGAAGGAGGCCCGTTCTTGGAGGTTTTAGGGGTGAAGAAGGTTTTGGGTTTAGGGGTTTAGGGGTTTAGGGTTTAGGGCCTTAGGGGTTTAGGACAAGAAGGAGGCACGGTCTTGCAGGTTTGAGGGTTGAGGTCTGGGGAGTTTACGCGGGCGCACTCTTTTGAGGTCTAGGCAGTAGGGATGAAGGTGTTTGGACTTTACTCGGTGTGTGTAGGTCTTTCTTCATCGCGGGTTTGGGATTCAGGTTTGGGGGTGAGCGAAGTGCTTAAGTATCTTTGAATGTTTGAATGGTTCGATAGGTTCTTACAGGCCTTATAAGGGGCCAGGAAGAAGGAATCCCATTCTCAGGGATTCGGGAAACAGGTGTTTTCAGGTTTCGGGATTTTAGAGTTCGAGGAGTCTTTGGAATTTCATATTTGCGGCCCTCTCGGCCCTATACAAGGTTTTGAAGGGCTTACAGCGGTATCAAGTTTTGTTGCAGCTTGTACATAAAGGCAGGTAGGTAGGTAGGTGGGTAGATAGGCAGACAGATAGATGGATAGATGGACGCATAGATGGATAGGGCTTGACGGGTTTTGCAAGGTTTCATGGAGAGCTTTTTTGGTTGGAGGGAGTTTCACGATTTCGGGGGTTGCGACTTAGCGTTAGGGGATTGGGGATTGGAGTTTAGAGTATCCATACGAAGTGCGGTTTGGTTACGAGTTTCTCCGAACAGGAACCAATATCCCCAACAAGGCCTAGATACACTGACCGATACCAGCACGTCGTGTCGTTTCTTGTTTGTCCTTGTATCAGTGCTCTGCTCTTTCCGGGAAGGCGAAGAAGGAAGAGAAGAAGGCCTTCCTCCGGATGGCGACTTTTCGCCTTGCGTCTGTCGATGGTAAGGGTTTCCGCTATTTAGGGTTCAGGGCTTAGGGTTTAGAGAACCCCGGGCTGGGTCCACAGGGTTCGTCGCTTGTTGGTTGCATGCCTGAGGGCTCTCTTGGTGCAGCGTTGCCAGGCGAACAAGAAGAAGAAATGAGCTCTCGTGTCTACTTCGGCCCTGTGAAACAGCACGGGCCACGTGTCTACCAAGTACGCTTCCGAGGGCTTCAATGCCCTAAACTCTGCACTCTAACTAAATTCTGCAGCCCCCCTAACCCTAAACCCTAAACCCTAAACCCTAAATCCCGGAACCCTGAACTCGAAACTGTACTCGCAAAACCCCTATGCCCTAACCTCGTAAACCCCGAAGCCCTACATTCTGAACCTGCGAACATGCTTGGAAGCGTTTCGTGAACGCATAGCGCAGAAGAGCTTAGAGAAGTAGCACGGCCGTTCTGAATGCAATCGTTCGATTCCGAAAGTTTCAAGAGACTTCATGTGTCTTCGCTTCGCACCGAAACCCTGAACCCTAAACCCTTAACACCGAAACCCTAAACGTTCGAGTTGCATAGGCCGGCCACCGGAAGCTAGCTTTGGACAGTGCGTCACAAAATGCCAGCGGCGAGCCTTGAGCCGGCTGCAGAGAGAGTAGGCTCTCTACAAACATGGCTTCAGATACTATTTGAAATTTATTTGGCTGACCCTAATGGTTTAGGGTTTAGGGCTTAGTTTAGGGTTTAGGGTTTAGGGATTCTACTAGTAGAGCCCTGAATTCGGAAGCGCGAAGCCTTACATCATAAGAAATATAATGATGAACGCCTGTCTCCAGCAGCTAAATCTAAATGCTTTTTTGTCCCTGAAGCCAATCTAAAGCCCGAAACCCCAAAATCACCAACGTAAGACATCCTAAAGCCCTCAGCAACCCAGATCGGCATCTTCCGCAGCTGCTCCCAACGAAGCTTACCCCTTTAGGGGGCTCCTTGCACCCGGGAGTGCCTACGGCAGCCATGCCGCGAGGCGTGCCTTTTCTTGTAACATAGATGGGGTTTGAAACTTGGGATTGGGGAATTTTGAACTGCTTGAAGGATCATGGGACTTAGTAACTAGGGTTATAAACAAGGTAACTATACTTATAATGACTTATAACCCCAATTAAGGTACTTATAACCTAACTTACTAAGTCCCCTGATCCTCTAAGTGGGGTTTAGGGGGTTGAAAGTCGCCGGTTTTGGGTGTTGAACTGGGGGTCAGGATTCGGCTTTAGGGTTTCCGGATTTCGGATTGGGGGTTGCCTGTGGGGTGCAGGACTTCGGGTTCGTGTTCGCCGTGACGTTGCGCTACGGTGACAGTCCCACAGCAGAAATGTCTCGAGTGCTCAGTGCTTCGATCCTCGGAAATTAGGCTTAGCCCGAAGGCGGTGGGGCGGCCAAAAACTCGAGCTTGATGCAGGGTGTACTTGGAGGGGCAGGGGACTTAGTAAGTAGGTTATAAGTAGAGTTTTAAGTAGCCTAAATGGAGTTACAATCCCATACTTTGTTTTCATAAGTCAGAACATACAAAAACATCTAGTTATGGTAGTCTAAGGTAGGGGTTGCAGGGGCTTGGTGTTTCGATTGGTCGTAGAGGGTTTCATGCTTTAGACTCAGGGCTGATCCTCATTTTTCAGGCTAAGTTTTACTAGGATGCCCAGTAGTACCCTTATTCCCTTTTTGTAGTCCTATAGGTTCCTTATAAAGTTACCCAATCCCAAAAAGAGAGGCCTTTTTATTCTTAGGTTACTGGGTATCCTAGTTTAGGGTATGGCATGCAGGGCCTTTGGGGCTGGAGAGTTTAGAGTCCAGGCCTTTAGGAGGTGTACTTGAAAGATCATGGGACTTAGTAACTAGGGTTATAATTAAGGTAACTATACTTATAATGACTTATAACCCCAGTTAAGGTACTTATAACCTAACTTACTAAGTCCCCTGATCCTCCAAGTAGACGTATGGGTTTATGGATCCTGGGCTCTGTCTGCTTTTCAGTGCTTGGTCGGCCGCTGCGTGGGGGCGCGAGGTTGGGTTTTAGAGAAGTTTTGGTGTAGTTGAAGCAACCCTAAGCCCTAAACTCCTGAAGCTCAAGGCTCTATTCATAAATCTGCACACAACTTACATGAAAACCCTATGAAGCCCCGAGCCCGCCCACCTTGCGGGCAGGCTTCATCGCTTTGGGGATCCTTGTGGGCGCCGGGGCCCTGCTATTCCTACTTACGCGGGGAAGGAGAGGCTTGCAATCAAGAAAGATAGTCAGCAAGACTTTGGCAAATATTGTGAACATCAGTAGCAATGATACTAACGATCATACCAATACCAAGACTGCAAACACAAAATGGTGTTAACATGGATTCGGGGATCAGATGTCTTCCCGGCTAGAATCCACGCAAGTTCGCTCCCTCATGCGAAGCCTTTAGGGTTCAGGGTTTAGGAATGTACTGTTTAGGCCTTAAATCCATGACAAGGTTCAGGTTGCCGAACTGTGAAGGCTCTCGCGGCTGCGGGTTTGCGGTACACCCTTCTGGAGGCTAATTGGTTGGCAAAAGAGTCGCTAGTTGCAGGCTTTGAGAGGGATTAGCTGGGGGGTCTTGAGGCTTGTTAAGGCCGTGGTTCAGGGTTGGAAGCCTGGTGCAGAGAAGGTTTTTGGAAGCCTGTGCCCTATTGTTCACTGAGCAGCACTGCGGGGGGATTAGCCTGGTATGTTAACGTACGCGGTACTCCTGTAGGAGGCCTTTGAAACTAAGCGCAGGCAGCAGCAAAGAGCCATCAGGTTTGGGATATTGGGTTTTTTTGATCCACGTCAGTCTTTAAACTCCAAGCCCTGGGTAGTCAGTCTCATTCCCGTGGCACCGAAGAGAGTTCAAAGTTAGCGGCTGAGCCAGGGTCCGGGTTCTGGCGTGGTCGAGGGTTGGGTTTAGGGTTTAGGGTTTAGGGTTTAGGGTTTAGGGTTTAGGGTTTGGGGTTTAGGGTTTAGGGTTTAGGGTTTAGGGTCGGGCACATGCATCGTGGTCGAGGTTCAGAGCTTTCCATGCCCCGTGGCCTTAAGCCCCGAACCCAAAGCCCCAGAGGTAAGACACCAAGCCCCAAGCATTGAACCCAATATAGAAGCCCACATACTTATCAATACTCTTCCTGAGGGTCCCGAAAAAGGCATGGTATAAACCCTGTCCGAATTATTGAGGCCCCCACATTACACCCCAAGCCTCAGAGACTCAGAGGACCTTCGAAGAGCACCAAGCACAGGTCTCGGGGGTGGTGTTGTCACCCGGAGATGCGAGTTCTCGAGGCGCAGAGGAGGCCGGTGCGTTTTTTCGGAATCGATTTGAAATCACGGTTCAGGGTGTTGAGGGGTCGTAGGAGCGTTGCATGAAGGGATTCTGATCCCTAAAAGGTGTACAAGTAGGGCTTATAGTGGAGGCCTCTGTCTGCAAACCTGGCCTGGGTTGAGTTCGGCTTTGCAGCGAGGGTTTAGACCTTAAGCCCCAAACCCTGAACACTAGATGAAGGGGTGTTACGGTGGAGGCTTTCTTTCGTTCGGCTTACATGCTCGGTGGTCATCAGGGCGTTCGCAGTGAGGGACACGGAATCGCACCAGGGATCATCTTATGTCCGTAAGCCCAGAGCTCTAATTGTACTAAGCCCGTTGTGGCAGACGGCAAGACGTTATTGTAGATTTTCACCTCGGGAACGTCCTAAACCCTAGACTCTAAACCCCGAAGAAGTCTCAAGCCCAACTCAAAAGCTTACGCGACAAACCCTGATGCCGACATCCTAAACCCTACACGCGGCTCCTACCTCCAAACCCCATATCATCAACTCCGATAGAAAACCAGTGACGGCCCAGTGGCAACCGTGGTAATAGTATCATGATGAAGGTCATTCTGTTTTTTGGGCGCCGTTCATAAGCATACAGTAGCTAGTGTTGCAGTGATTTCTTCCGCGGTCTGTTGCTACTGCTGCTGTTCTTCTGCAATGCCAAGTTGAATATCTTAAATTCCCCGGATGACTACCCTTAAACTCCAAACCCTGAACCGAAGCTCGTGACCCCAAACCCCAAACTCTAAACCCTGAACCATTCGCAGCCCTTTTACGTCGCAGGCCACAGTGTCGAGCTATTCTGAAGCGGCCCAGCATCTCGCTTGGACATGGCCTCTAAACCCAGAGCAACTGGGAGTTGCCGAAAATGGGGGACCCGTCTTGGGGTTCCTTTAAAGGGTGCTACAAGGGTTCCTTTAAGGGATCTATAGGGTTTAGGGCTTGGAGTTTCCGAAAATTTGGGGACCCTAATACAGCCACCCGAGAAAGTAGCAGGATCCTCATTGTAAGGACCCCGAAGTACGGTACCCCATTTTTCGGAAACTCCCAAAGAACCGATACCCCAAATACAGGGACTGGAGTAGGTTCGTAGCAGGAGGATTCCTCAGGGTTCCCAAGCATGCCTTTACTTCAAAGGCCGCCCTAAGCAACCCTAAGTGCAGAAGAAGAGCAACTGACCTCCAATACAGTGAACCCTACTGCGGGGACCTTTATCAGTAGAACATCATGTTGGGGCACACGTTTTTCGCTTTTCTCTGACTCTCAGGAATAGTGTCGTGACTAATGGTTCAGACCCTTACATGAGTTGGAGGTTCATGGGAGTAGTGAGTCGAACCATGTTTGAGGTTCATAAGAAGATCGATCGCAAGCGTTCTGTAGGGTGTTGTGGGGTTTCGGAAGGATGTATTGGGCTTTAAGGTTCAGGGATAAGTGGCACTTGCGTTTATATTGTTATTCTCGGCTTGCAAATCAAGACCATAATCACGGTCGGATATGAAACCTTTGTTGTTATGTGGCGTGAAAGTCCGGAGCCACCGAAGGTCTTCAGCCCTTGGGCACTGCGACCGCATGCACCCAACCTGACCCCGAACTCTGCAAACTCAAGAACCTCATTCCGAGTCTTTGAACTCAAACCCTAGGCATGAACACCACAAAACCCTAAACCCTAAACCCGTTAAAGCTTTGCCCAAACTCAACCTATAAACTCCAACACTCAATAGCCTAACGCCCTGCGGAAGCCCTCTTGGCACCCTTACAGAAACCTGCAAGGGTTTTAGGGGTTACGGGGTGTACCTCAACCCTAAACCTTATT